ACACTGTTTGATTACTGTAGCTTTATAATAGTTCTGAAATCAGGCAGTGTGAGTCTTCCAACTGTGTTTTTTATTTCAAGATTGTTTTGACTGTTCGGGGTCCCTTGTAATTCCATACAAATTTTAGGATCATCTCTTGCATTTCTGTAAGAATACCAGCTGGGGTTTTGGTCAGGATTTCATTGAAATCTGTAGATTGCTTTGGGTAGTATTGCCTTGTCCACTCCACAGTGTAGAGCACTGTCTCACAGAAGGTAGCGCACAGCAGGAGGGCTTGTTTAGTCACTTCTGGGCTCCAGCCCCGAAGTCTGATGTGGAAGGTCTGGCCCCAAGCCCAGGAATGTGCCAGTTTAACAAGGTCCCCCACGAGTCCCAGGGACTCCAGGGTTTGAGAACCACTCTGGCCTTACCCATCTTCCCTAGGGAGGGCTCTGGGGTTCAGCACGAGCGAGTTTCCTAGTTTGAAAATGGCCAGTTCGTGGGCAGGAGTAGTCTTCACAGCTGCTTCCTGTTCAGCCCCCTCTTGGCACTTTGGCCCTGCTTGACCTCTGGGAGTAAGGTCATTGGAATTTGTTCCAGTTGACTTTTGTGAAGCAGCATTTCTCGGGCCGAGTTCAGGAGCTCTCGGCGTGGCAGAGGGTGGGTGACATGGAATCTCCCTGTCTTTTCCGTACGGCCTTTTCTCCCAGAGGCCAGGGTGGTGTGCCTGTCTGACCTGCACTGAGTCCTCGATTCGGCTGGGAGGTCCTCTTGTTCATTGCGTCGTTTCTTGCCATCAGACCTCGGATACATTTCCAAACCTCTCTCTGTCTGAGCACCTCTGATCTCAGGGGGCCCAGCAGACCTTGCTGGGATCTGTTGAGGAGACCGACCTTGCAGGTGGTGCCCGGCCCTGCCCTGCCCGCTCCAGCCTCGGCCCTTCAGGCCGCGCTCCCTCCTGTGCATACGCTCTTGCCCCCCGGCACACACCTCCCTGCCCTTTTCTCCTGGTTCTTTCCTGGCCATCCTTCAGTCTCACCTCGCCGACAGCTCCTAGGGCAGCCCTGCCTGACCGCCTGTCTGACCCCAGGTACGTGCTCTCAGAGCAGCACGTTCTTCACCGCTGTAGCTCCCCTTACCTGTGGCAGCCTTACATGTCCTCATGTGACTGTTTGATTAACGACGTGTCTCTCACCAGACTTGAAAATCCAGGAGTCAAGAAGATTGATCCCCAGCACCCAGCACAGTGCCTGGCACGGGGCAGGCGCTCAGCCAAACACCTGCTGGATGGTTGGGGTTGGTGGGAGGTCGGTGGAGGCACGAATGGGCCGGTGCGGTGATGGGTGGGCGGGGTGAGCAGTGACAGGTAGACAGATGATGGCCGAGCGGCTGGTGGGGAAGCACCAGCCAGTGAGTTTCCAGAACCTCCTTCCTCTCTCCGCCTTATCAGACGAACACTCCTCGGGACCTGTTGTTTGACTGTCCTTCAGGACACACGGGTGACTGAGACACCTGGAAAAGACACAGAACATCGCCAGGGCTGTGACCCAGTGTCCCAGAGGATGGTGGCGGCATGTGGGGCTGGCGGGGGCGCCTGACAGCTCTTCTGTGCCTCCTGTCCCCTCCCGGGACAAGACCTTCTCTGAGGAAGAAGTCCTCTGCCCCTCTCCCTGCCTCCCACCCGCAGCGACCCCAGGACCTCACTGGCCCCTCCTCCCCTCCTGGAACCTTAACAGCCCGCCTCCCTGCGTCCCTCCCTCTCCCGTGAGCTGACTTGTCCAGGCAGCGCCCCAGCAGCCTCGTTCTGCCCTGTGGCCTCTTCTCTTAACCCTTTGCAGTCTGGGTCAACAGACCCTGCTGTGCCCTCCACCGCCCCTCTGCAGGCTTCCAGGGGCTGCTAATGGGCTCATTTTGTGTTCCTCCTGACCTCTGAGTAACACTTGCTACCACTGCCCAGCCCTTCCCGCCACTTCTTTATTATCCTATTAAAGTGTTTTCAAAGAGCCCCGCCCCTGCCTGCCCACCACCACTGGACACCAGAGTGACCAGTGGGGCATCTCAAATGCCGAGGCCTGGGCCCTCAGGGTGGTTGGCGTGAGCAGCCCGTGCTGAGAATCAGAGTGGGGACAGCATCTCCTGGGTCCTGCCCAGCGCCCCCAGCCGAGCTGTCTCTCACCTGGATTATTCCACCGGCTTCCAGCACGGGACTCCGCTCCTTCCAGCTTCCCTGAGGGTGGTCCTCGCAGTAGCAGTGTCCGCTCACATCACTCCTCTCTCCACACCTCCCTTAGCACGGAATCTGCTGCCTTCTCGCCTCTCCCTCCTCACTCGCTGGCATCCAGGCTGGCGTGCCCCTGCTGGGGCGGCAGGGTCAAGGACCCCCACCCCCACCCCATTGCCGTGGTGTTCCCCTGGCCCCTCTCTCCCCCTTACATGACGCAGCCCTGGTGTGTTTGCCTGGCCCACCCCCAGTGGATTGGAGGCTGTGTGAGGACAGAGGCGCGTGGTTTGTCTGCAGGGGAGGTTTCCCCGGCACCCAGCATCTGAGGTGCTTGGCGTTTGCTGAGCAAGTGACCGCGTGGCTTCACAGGGAGGTGTGTGTCCAGGAAGCAGCCGATCCAAGAGCTGCGGGGGTGGCATGGTTTTCCGCGGAACCCAGCCTGGGAAATGCTGCAGGATGACACCCCTCGTAGGATGTGTCCCTACGGGTGCCTTGCTCATCCTCGTAATGTGCAGTCAGCAACGTCCCTGCTTGTATTCCAGCTGCTTCTGCTCTCCTGTCCTTTGAGAACTGGCTTATGTCCTTGCCCCTCCCGCTGCCTCCCCTGGGAGTGAGGTTCAAGTCCTGTCCTCGCATCATCGAGTTTGGGGGTGGGGGACAGCCGCTCATGCCCTGAAAGCCCGCCGAGCTGTACACTTAGGGTTTGTGTTGTTTTTTAAAGGTGTGTGACCCTTCAGTAAAAAGCTATCTTTTTATTGGATGAGAACAAGTGAAGGGCTGGGCTCAGGCACCGTCTCAGAGGGAAGCAGGGAGCCTCGTGTCCATGTCCCTCTCAGCCCGGGCAGGTGTAGCTCCCCCGGCCAGGAGCTGTGTGGGGTTGTGCAGGGTGGGTTGCAGCCTGCCCTGTGCACGAGGGCGTGTGGGGGAAGGGCAGGCCGGCCGAGGCCCCGAGGAGGCAGGGGCGTCACGCCGAGGAGTTCCCGCTGTACTCTGGGCAGTCGGGAGACATGGCAGCGAGGCAGGCGGGCAGGCACGAGGGGTCCCACAGTGTCAGGGCAGCCTGGTGACTGGCGGGTGGCAGGCAGGACCGTGCCCGAACCGGGCAGTGGGGCCGGGGGGCCGAGGGGTCCAGGTTCAGAGCTGTCCAGGAGACGACGGGCGCCCAAGGAGGGAGAGGGGAGAGAAGGGGCGCCGACCCGCCCTGGCCGCCCGTGGCGGTCCTCCTCCCGGCCCTTCCTCCCCCTGCGAGGCCTTCTCCCCGCCCGCCGGCTCTTTCCTGCCTCCGCATCACGGTGTCTTCTCTGTCTTCCCACTGCTCCACTGCCCGGAAACTTCGTGGCTTCGAGCAGCGCTTTACTACTCGTACCTCTCAGGGCTCTGGGGCTGGGATGCGGGCGGAGTCCAGCATGGACGGCTCCTCCCTGCTTCACCACGGCGGGGCCTCTGGGCCCCGCACACCTCTCTCCCCTCCGCGGGGCCTCCGCACCGCAGACCCCTCCACGCCGGCTGAGCTCCGAGAGGAGACGCTGACGCTGCCTGCTCCTCGAGACCAGGCTCGGCCCTGCCAGCGGGATGCTTCCGCCATGTTGTTTTGGTCAAAGAAGTGAGAGGCCAGATTCCAGGGGAGGGGCACAGAGCCCCGTCTCCGTAGAGCCCAAGAAGTCACAGCCACACCAGTCATGGGAAAGCGGAGAGCGCTTTCAGTACTTATGTTCTTGCCTGAAAAGCATTTAGGATGCTCCTCAGCTGAGAGAGCCCATGAGTTCCGATTGCATCTCCCACAGGCACACAGGGCGTGTCAGCCGCGTCTGTGCCCAGCGTGGTGTGCCGATCGATCGCAGGGCCGTCCGTCCGCTCCCCGCAGCCCCTCATCCTCTCTAGAGTGGTGTGTGTCTGGTGGGGGGGGATGCTGGGCCTAGGGCACCCCTCCCCTAACACGAGGCTGAGCGGGCTCACTGGCCTCCTCGCCTGACGGTTCCTGTTTCCTGCGAAGCTCGTGGCAGCTGTGCACAGTCGGCCTGGCTCTCGGCCTGGCCCTCTCTGTATGCCAAGCAGAGCAGAAGAGGGGGGCTCGGGGCCATGAGTGGCGAGACCCACGTCCACAGACACCCGCCTTGACCCCTCCCCAAGCTGCCCAGCCACCCTTGATCGAGCTCCCGGGCCGGTCCACACACCTCCTCCCTGCGGACCCTCTGTCCCAACACTCTCAGCGGCAACTCCATGTTTTGGTGTCTTTTACCTTTATAACTTACAAAATTTAACTTTTCATTTTGAAAAACTTCAGACCAACGGAAAACTTGTAGGCAGATTTCAGTAACTCCCATAGCCTCAGGTCCACCCAGAGTCACCCACTGCCAGCACTGGGCCACGTTTGCCTTCTCTCCGAGCATGAAGCTGTGAACAGGGGCTTGTGAGAACCCTCAGGCCAGGCCCCCGGCCACCTCCGCTTCCCCTGTGGCACCTGCCGTCTGTCGCTGCCCGGCAGCCCGCCCCCCTGGCCCGGCGCCCCGCAGGTCTTCTCCCCACGTCCTTTCCTTCTTCTGTCACCTGGCCCATCTTTGTTCCCCAGGACATGCAGCACTGAAGAGTTGGGGCTCCCTGCTTGGCGGGAGGTCCCTCAGCCTGGGTCTTCGGGGCGTTTCTATCCCTGTGAGGCTGCGCTCTGGGGACAGGCCTGGCCCCCCCACCCCCTTACCCACCGCTCCTGCCGTGTCGGGCTGCCCTGGGAGATGCGGGAACTGCCCTCCGCAATCATGTGCGCCCACCTCCTTCCCTGAGGAAAGGCCCTTCCTGCTTCCAGCCCGCCGGGGTCGCCCTGGTCAGCGTCCACTCCAGCCCCAGCGACCAGATGCTGTGGGCCCTGGACAGCAGGTGGAACGTGCACGTCCGAGTTGGGATCACCGAGGAGATGCCGGTGGGGACCGACTGGGAGCACGTGCCAGGTAGAGGTGCTGGGTGGGCGGTGGCCACTGCGGCCACACTGGGGCCTGGTTTGTTTCCGAGGCTCTGCTGAGGCAGGTGACAGCAAGCGTCTACCTTAGTGTTCCCCAGCGTGGGCACCCCACAAGCAGAGCGCCAGCCCCGTGTCCTTGGGGTTCCTTGTCGGATGACCGTTTCCGGACCGCCTGGGCTCTGGTCCTCGGGTCTTGGGCTCTTGCAGCCTCGCCGGCCCTGCAGAGAGGGCATCCTTTCCCTGGGCTCCCACTCGGTGCCCAACCAGGGGGAGAGCAGGCTTGGGGGGAGGGTCGGTCCGTCCCTTCCGCGGCCGGGGCCAAGGGCAGACAGACACTCCGTTTGCCTGCAGGGTTGCAGGCCTGCCAGCTGGCCCTGAGCGCCAGGACCGTGTGGGCCCGCTGCCCCAACGGGGATCTCGCCCGACGGTACGGCGTCACCGACAGAAACCCTGCCGGCGACTACTGGAAGAAGATTCCCGGGCACGTGACGTGTTTCACAGGCAGGTGCCAGGGCGCCGGGGCTCCTGTGGCTGGCGTCGGTGGGGCTCTGGCCGGGGGCTGGGGCGGTGCTGCTCCCACGGGGCTGGTTCACCCACACGGGAGCCCATCCCAGGGTCACACCTGCCGGGGGCCACGCAGCACCCGGACTCTGCCAGGGTCTCCCGGGAAGAGGACGGGGTGCCGGGCCGCCCCCTTGAAGGCTGGGGAAGCCGAGGCGCTGGTTGGGGGGTGCCCGGGGCCCCACCGCTAGGCAGCGCGTGTGCAGACGTGGAGCCGGGCTGCGGAGTAACGGGTGTGCGGCTGGCTCTTGTCCCTGCAGTGACCTTGTCAGACGAGCTGTGGGCAGTGGGCCCCGCCGGCTCCCTCCTGCAGCGGCTGACTAGGACTTTCAGCCACTCCCACGGCGCCCCGAGCAGCCAGGCCACCGCCCCCCACCCCGAGGACCTGGACGACGAGTGGGAGGTCATCTGAAGGAGCTCTCGGTGGGGCGTGTGGCGGACACGGGGCGGTTTTGAGTTGCTTGCCCTTGGGCGCGCCTCGCCCGCTCTTGTCAGGCACGTCTAGCCAGGTGGGACGCCCTGCTCTTGCTTTCCTCCGTGTTTGTTTCCGTCTTGTTCCAGAACCCACAGCTTCGGCCAAGAGGTCCGGAGCCGTTGCTGTAGCAGCAGTGCCTCTGAAATCCCGCTGAGGCCGTCCCCGAGTGGGACAGTGGCTGCTCCAGTTGCATGCACTATGGTCACCTTCCCATCACTGACCGCTCCTGGGCCCATGGAGCCCAAGGTCAGTGCCGTCCATCCGCCGAATGTGTTCCTGGGATGGCTTCGTCTCCACCACACAGTCCCCCCACCTCCTCTCTGAGACACAGGTCCCAGCGCCCATTCCCTGCTGGCCACACCAGATGGGAAGCCAGCTGTGCCAGAACAGGGACACACGCATAGCGACATGCACACGCCACGCACACCCTCCCTGCCCGCTCCCAGGGGGCCGGGCTCGCCTCCAGCAGAACAGTAAAGGCCAGTGGGTGACCCGGAATACGGAAGTGTGCGTGTGTATCCGAGGCAGGTGTGGTGGGACGTGGGAACCTTAGCCATGTTAGTGACATAGAAATGTCTTAGGGTGACACTCAGCCCTGCTGCTGGTGACGTCGTGAAAACCAGAAGCACCTTCAGAGGATGAATCTACTAATTCTTGCCTTTTTTGTTTGTTGTATTACAAACCTACATGAGATACCTCACTTGAAATCAGATCTTACAAATTTAGAAAAGAAATGTATTTTCTGAAACCAGGGGAAGGCCTTTGATTCCTTCCCCTGGTTTATCCTGAGCCTGCACTGTTCTCGGCTGCAGCTTCAGAGGATGGACACCGTCCTGCGTGTCCTCGATGTGTGGGGCAGCCACAGGACCTGCCTGCTGGCTGCGAGTGGTAGCCAGACACTGTCAGCGGGCATCTGGGTGGGTGCCCAGCAAGGCTGAAACTGGGGCCTGCTGAGGCCACATCAGACTTCAGTCCATGGGCTCGGCCTGCAGTGCCTACCCTTGTCGCTGGCATCTGAGCTGTAGGACTCTGCAGCCCAGCCAAGCATCCGCCCTGAGCCCGCCACCCCTCCCTCTTGGAGGCAGCCCCACGGAAGGACTCCAGCCTGGCTGCTTTTTTTAGCCTGCCCTTGGCCTGGGGCCCAGTTACTCAATGCCTGTTTTCTACTAAGCAGGTGTGTCCGGGAGCCCCCAGGCCACAGGTGAAGAGCGATAAGATTTGTTCCCTGACAGGACCCAGCTAGCCACGAGGATGGAGGTTTTCCAGGCCTAAATGAGGACAAGACGCTGGAATCCCAGACCTTACTTACTACTACACTTTTATAGAACGCGTGTTTTCAGAAGTCTGGTGACAGCAGAGGGAGCGCAGGCTGGCTGGGGCTCCTCTTCTGCGTATGTTGTGCCTTGCCGGGCTCCTCAGATGGCAGAGCTCTCCTGAACCCACGGGACTTTAGTGCAATTAACCCAGTCTAGTTAGTTTGATACTTTTAAACTACTTGTAGCCTCAGTGCTTTGTACAGTTTCCTTTCTTTTTTTTTTTTTTTTTTTTTTTTTTTTTTTTTTAGTTCTGCTTTGAGACAGTGCAATAAACTAGACTTTGCCGAGCCTGATGTCTGAGTGGTGAGAAGGTGCCCTGAGTGGGCACTCAGGAAGGCTGTTCCCACTGGTGCTGCAAAGAATCTGCTGCTGGTGTTCCCAGCCCAGCCCCACGGCCAGGAGGGTGTGGGCAGACGTCATTTCGTGACCAGTTTGCCCGGGGGCTGTCCTGGGGGAGTGCCACTGCAGAGGTGGCCCTGGGGAGCACACTGTACCGTGAGGCAGAGCGCAGGGCCGCTGTGGGCAGGCTCTGGGGGCTCAAGACCCTGGGCCTGAGCCTTCATCCAGGACACAAAACCAGATACCAGAAGTGCCCTAGTGGAAACCAGCACGTGGAAAAAAGACCACGTTCATGACAGCAGCGGGATGCGTCACGTGCCAGGAAACAGCCTGAACAAGAAATGTCAGACTCAGTCGAGAGCTGGCCAAGCTTTACTGAAGACTTCCAGGAGAGCCTGAATTGGGAAGGCAGTTGACATTCCTGATGGAAAACCACAGCCATTGTGCAAAGAAAGACACGAGTCCTTTCCAAAGGCATTTATGGCTTTCACTCAATTTGTCAAAATCCCCACTGGGATTTTCTTTGTTGGGGGGAGGCAGAGAAGAATCCATAAAATAATGTTCATACCCACAGACACCCCCCCCTTGACTGTGCCAGATATGCTGTGAGGGTCTCATGTGTGCAGCTTCACGTCCTCAGTAGGGCGCTGAGAGGCCAGTACCATCAGCCCCAGTGAGAATCAGAGAGGCGAAGTAACTTGCTAAGTCAGCACAGGGAGCGCTGGGATCGGAGCCTAGCTCGGTGGGACTCCAGGCCTGCGCTGTCCGACGCCACCCCACCGTCTTGAGAAGAAGAAACGATGAGGACTGCCAGGAGTGATGACAGGGGCCAGCAAACGAAGTGGGACGTGGATGGAAGAGCCAGTGATGTCGGGCAGCCCAGCGAGGTCCACGGGGAGTTAGCGAGGTGAAGGCGGCACGCAGGTGAGAGGACGGGACAGTGGCTTCACAGTTAACTGATGCGGCCCGCTACTTAACCGTTCAGACAAAATAAACATTAAGTGGATCAAAGAGTCTTAAAACTAGGGGGCAAAAAACAGTATCTGATTTCTGGATGGCAAGCACTTTCTAAACTCAAAAGTAGTGGGAGAAGTCAGAGGAAAATACTATATAGATTTGATTTCTTCAAAATATAAAGATGCTGTGAATTAAAAAACCCGCATAAAACTAGAAGGGGAAATAGTTGAAACAAGTCGGAGGAACACTGAAGACACACGTATGGACAAAGGAGATGAAAGGGCACTGCTTAGTGCGCACCCAGGGCAGGGGTGCACATGGAGCAAGCGGGGAGCCCCCATTGGCACGGCCCTTCTGGGAAAGCCACTGGGTCCAGCAGCAGCCTTAAAACTCTCAAGTCCCGGAACTCCTACTTCTGGAAGCCTGTCCTCAAGAACAAATCCTACGTCAGGGTTAAACATACAGCGCAGCATCGTTTGTAATTGTGAAACACTAAAAACAACTGACATTCGGGAGCATTCCTCTCATGAAACAATACGCAGATGTTAAAAAGCATGTGTGTTCCTGGGGGATGTATGTTCTGAGCAGTCTGTCATGCAGTTTTATCATAGCAACATTAAATCTCTTGGGCGTGGTAATGATCATGTGAGTTTGTAGGAGATCATACATACAGGGAGAGGTAGATAGTGCCAATGGACACGCTGTACTCTTCTAACTTCTGGTGGGTTTGAAATCTTTTTCATAATTCCAGGGCGCAGAGGAGGGGCAGAAAGACACTACACAAGCAGCTGGTCACGGTGGTCACCTATAGTGTGTACCTTTTTGTATCTTTTGAATTTGAGCCATGTAAGTGTGTTATTTATTCCAAAAATAAATAAAATTCACATTTTAAAGACTCAGTTCTAACATCAATTCTTTATCGTATCAGCGCTAGCTGAATCAAATATCACAAAGTAAACAAAGGCTTCTCAAAAATCCTATTTACACAATGTTTTACAGTATATGGAAATGCTTACTCTACAGTAAGCTTTTAAATACTAGATTTGATCTGATGTCATGTGAAAAAGTACGCATAGAAAAAAATTTTGAACATATGTATATATGTGCATAGAGAAAAACAGAAGAAAATACACCAAATGCTAGTAGCAGTGGTTGTCTGGGTGGTGGGATGCTGCCAGGCAGGCGGGCAGCCTCTTTATCTGGGAGCTGCATGGAGGGGCCCCTGCCACATCCTGCCCTGGATTTCTCTGCACAATCCGTGTTCTACCATGAGCATGCATTCTATCAGCAGAAATTCATCATAAAAGTCACTGGAGATGTGGGAATTCCCTGGCGGTCCAGCGGTTAGGACTCCCCGCTTTCACTGCCTGGGCCCCGGATTCAGTCCCTGGTCGGGGAACTAAGATCCCACAAGTCGCACAGTGTGGCTTAAAAAAAAAAAAATCACTGAGGGGCTTCCCTGGTGGCGCAGTGGTTGAAAGTCCACCTGCCGGTGCAGGGGGCGCGGGTTCGTGTCCCGGTCCGGGAAGATCCCACATGCCGCGGAGCGGCTGGG